TTTTACCAAATTTAGTATTGTATTGTTAATATATATATAGATAACAATTAAGTATGATAATGTTCATAGTGTAATTAAGTGAATTTGTAATCGCATACTCGTATATATTTATAAGGTATTAAAAGTACTTCGAAGGAGGTATATCTTCGGTTTCTTTTAATAACAACGTTAATTTTATATTCAAAATGACGCAATTGAAATTTTAACTCCTTTATATAGCATATTACCATTAAATAGTTGATGTTATCAGTATATATGTAATGACTTTGTCCGATCCTTAGATATATATAGTGTAAAATGTTTACAAACATATATATATAAAGTTGTAAAACCTTAAGGTATTATTCGAATAACTTAATTGGTATAATATGTTGTAACATCGTTTGAGAAGGCGTTTTTATTGGCTCATTCATAATTGAAGGCAATTAATCAATGTGGTTATTCTCACTATACATATTAATTATTTAACAAGCTGTGTTGCAGCTTTCAAACAATCAAACTGAAAATAAATACTTGTATGACAATTGGTAATAAACAATATGTTTGAAAATGTTCGTAACATTAAACAGTAAAATAAAAAACCCCATATAAATCGATTACGGATAATGAAAAGTCGCTTACACTAAATCCAAAATAAGGTAAACATCGGTTTTAACAAAAACTAACAGTGATGTTTTTGAATTTCTCTCACAGTTTAATGATGTTTTTTTAGAAGTTTACGTTCACGATTGTCACAAAATTGATTAATAAACGTACTCGTAGTTCGCGCGGATGTTATGGTCTTATGACGAAAATAGAAATACGTACCCCGAACGTTATGTAACGAAAAGTGATCCCTACGTACGTACGAGGACCCGTGAACGAATTGCTTATTGTAATCGGAAATCGTAATTGTACTCGTTATGTGTACGCGTCACAAGATCCGGAATCGAACACTGCGGCAATATGGTAGTGAACCATGTGCAGGTATAGATCTCGCGATCACTATCCGCGGCTCGATAACGGTAAATAAACGATTTGATCCGTAAACGCGCGCGCGTTAACCGTATATAATTATACGGTACGACTCCCAATAATTCTTTTTGTTTTAATAATAACAATAATAATACTTGGTCGTGCTGTAAACGCGTTTCGTTATGTCGACGGTGCGCGGAGGGCGCGTTGACCACAATGAATTCGGGTCTTCCGCGGGACGCACGCGCATGTATACGTGTACCGCAGCAACATAATGCCACATACGTACCTAAACGTTTATCGTTTATACCAATGTTTAAAACGCTTCGTGCGCCCGTGTACCTATAATACTAAACTACGCGTATAGCGTGATATGCCAAAATTAATCGAACATATCTCATCGGAGACCCCCACCGGAGGGCTTACTGCGACGGGACGAAAAGAATACCACCTGTCGGATATTCCGTATTATAAACGGCAGCGCACTCGTCTGCATACGGATTCGTACACGGAGTGGCGGTACACGTAATAACCACGGTCGATTCGGGTCCGAGACGATGACGATCCCTGGGTACGTTATGGGAACGGGCGTCGGAATTCCGCTGTAACCGGCAATTACCGAGAGCGGACGGAATACGTGTGCCCGTCGAACGGTCGGAGGGTAGGCGAAGGGCAGCGAAACGGCCGTGAAAACGTAACCGCCGTACTATTGTTTTGTGTGTTTGTAATTATTTATTTTGTTATTTTTTTTTTTTCGCTAGTATCATCGCCGTGGTTGTCTATGAAATTGTTGGTTCATTATTGTTGTTATTACGTTTCGTTTTCTCGAACTCGGTGCGAGCAATTAAAATGCGTAATATCAACAATACTGTCGTTTTATTAGACAACAACTATGACTGAACGGAACTGGACCACCAAAATAATTGTATGCGACACTAGGCACGATTGTTAAAGAACGAATATAATTATTTCGGATGGTTGCAATGCTTTTCTAGATCAGAAGATCACCACTATTAGCAGACAGCGGTTCGCTTTTAGCTATTCAAGATTAATCTAACAATAATCGTCATGAAAAGCAATACATAATAAAATTATTTTAAAATCGAGAAAAAAAAAAAAAGCAGAACACTAGGTCGAGTGAAGAAACTCTACGATCGGATACAGGAATACACAGATGGGTGTACGGTATTGCTGAATTGGTATTTCAGTATTGAAATCAATGTGCTATTTCCCTCCAACAATTTTGAAGCTTAAATAAAAAATTTAATAAGTTTTTAATTACAAACATTTAGCGAATTTCATAGTTATGTAAAAATTTAAAATTTAAACGCTAGTATTTTTTTTTATTTTTTTATATTAAGCTCAATTTTATTTTTTTGATCAGTCATACCAGTGATTATAAATACTATTAGTATAGTAATTATAATCAATGGCGATACATTTATAAATGAAACTTTGTATTAAATTGTTAAGACTCTTTGTCAAACTTAAATTATTTTATCGACATTATCAAAATAAGCTTAGAAAAAATGAAAAATTATATCTTAACAAACAGTGATTTAAGCATTCAATGAAAATTTCATGAATCTAGGACTATTATTTTTTAACTAAGAATAATAACAAAAATTTGATTTACCAAAAACCGGTTTGGTGTATTTTTATAAGTATTCGTTTGATTTTTGCAATTATGAATAAAACTATCTCAACAATAGGGAAAAAGTCGGGAAACCAAAAGAAATTCGTAAAATTATCCTTCTCAAAGTACCAATTAGACCACATTTCTACATTTTTTATGGAAAATTTCATGATGATAATCGTTTTGGTTGAATTCGTGTGTACATAGACATAATAAAAACAACACATGGTAACACCGATACATTTCTCATTCCAATCGGAATCTAAAAAATTAATAATTTTGAATTACATATTTAATTTCAATGATTTTCAATATGAAATGACTTCGGGTATTATTTCTTTGAATACTTATAACTATTTTTAACTAACAGATAATTTTTTCTGTAACCGTACGACAATTTCTGTACAGAACACTAATCTCATCGAAATAAAATTTAACATAACTTCGTCCAATATAAATTAATTTTATTAATTTAATATTTTAAACACAATGTATCCGAAAACACCGTTTCCCATACGGCGTTAACGTATAAAATTCATTTTTCGTATGAATTCAGTTTTTGCTCGTATTTCAATGATAAAATATCAGTTTATCATTAAACGTATAGCGGCTGTCGTAACGCATAACACGTGGGCGTTGTACGATATGCGATGATTAGTTTTGATTTCTACGAGATCATAACATATAAGACCGTACTGTAATCTCATCTTTGAACGGCTATTGTTTCAAAAACGGCATTGTCGATCGTAGGCGCATTCAAAACCGCGACATTTTGTCGGGAGGATTCGATCTTCGATCTTCAGCGGACACACGTCGTTCGTGAAATTAAAAGAGCACGTATTAATCCGTGAAAAAAAAAAAAAATAATAAAATAATAATAACAACAACAAACGGTCGGACCGCTCTCGTTTCTCCGGCGGACTCGTCGCACCGATCTCGCGCGGTCTGACCGGCGGTCGAACTGCGCGAACCCGGAACACTCGGAGGCGCGCGAACACGAGGGAACCGTGAGAACGAACGCGTCCGTGATCGCGGCCCCCGGGTGCTCGGCCCGTCCGTCGGCGAGGTTCGCACGGTTCGCGCGCGGCCGATTCAACAGGTGACCCGCGGGGGTGCGCGCACGACTTGGACCGGGGGGGGGGGGGCGCACGGGACGGTCCGTGTCGCTCGCGAGCCGTGTCCTTTTCGCGGGCGTCCGGACGGCGATCCGGTGCGAGCGCGTTGCGAACACATTCCGTCCGTACTGTTATCAACGATAACAGCACGAAGGATGGAGTGCGTTCCGGAGCATATTTTAACATACAAAGTACGTGGCACTAACCAACACATTCTCATAACGATCAGGGCTGACAGGAGTTAACCTGTATGTTACTCTGCCGTAGAACACCACGTCCACGAACTACGATGGTGGACAATTTTATTGGAGTGCCACCTAGTGGAAATCACTTAAAATTGTTGTTCACACGTTTACGTTTACTCGTAAGGGTCGACGAGCTCCGTCGCTCTTCATCGCCGTTACCGCTAGAACGAGCCACGGTCCCCCGGAACCTATAGCGGAAGTACTGAACAATCGTCCGCGGTCCATTGTCGATTTCATCGAGACTAACCGCAAGCGAAAATCAAACACATTCTATCCCATGCGCGGTACATCCGACATGATTCAGCGAAGCTGTTTCTGTTTTTCGTTTGTTTATTTTAAATCCTAAACAATGTAAACCTAAATGTAGTATACCCAATTACCTACACTGACGAGGGTCTTTTTATATTAAAAAAGAAAAAAAAAAACCTCTTCCCGTTTACGGAATTTATTTTACATCATAAACTCATCCGTAGTAATAACATTGGCGGCAGCACTCGGGAGCTCTAAAAAAGTTTGGAAAAAAAAACTTCGAGACATCGTTTTCGATTTCGATCGTCGTGGATTTCGACTTAACCGTGCACGTACCAAAAGTATTGTTCGACTCTTCGAACAATCGCAAACGTTTTCACGGTTGTTTGACGGAAAACAATGAATATTTTGTAATACCATCATCGCGTAATCGTAGTTATTATTCATCGCTTATTGGACGGATTAAAAATTGATATCGTTACGCGTTTCTGTTGAACGATATTTTTCCCGTCGAACGGAGTGTTCACGTGCGCGCGCGCGGCGCGGGTTGTAGGCGGTCACTGCAGCGTCGACGGGGGATGGGTGACGGACGGGCTCGCAGAAATACGGAGGGGGTGGGAGAGAGAGAAAAAATGAAAATCGGATGAAGAGGAAGACGAAGACGGAAAACACGAACCGAACACGACTCGCGCGCGCCCGTGCGTGCACGAGCGCGCGCGACCGCGTCATCCGCGTGCGCAACCGGTGCGTGCGCATGGTGGGGAGAGGAGTAGTGGCGGCGGTGGTAGTGGTAGTGGTGGTAGTCGCGCGCGCAGTCACCGAACACGGGCGGCACCGCACTGCAGCGCGTGTATGTGCGTACATTGCACGTACCGTCCGACACGTACATTGCGTATCGCGCGCCCGGTGCGGCCGACGGAGACACGGAGGGACAGCGGAGAACGACGACGGCGCGGCCGCTCACCCGTCGCTATCAGCAGCACCACAGTCGCCGTACGCCCCGCGGACGGGACGACCGCACCGCCGAGACGCCGCCGGAGGAAAAGCGCACAAGGTAATCGTAACGTTATTCCACGACTCGTACACACGTCCGCCGTTTCCGGGGCGTCCCCAACCCCCGCCCCACGTGTGTGCGCGCGCGCCCGCGTTCACCACACCCCGCAGGGCCACAACCCCGCCCCTCCACCCCGATATGAACTCTTCTCCGGCGGTGCAGCAGCAGGCTCACCACCACCGTCAGCAACAGCAGCAGCAGCAACAGCAGCAGCAGCAGCAACAGCACCAGCAGCAGCCTCAACCATCCGTCAACATCAACAACAATAACAACAACAACAACAACAACATCATCATCGGCAACAATAATAAGGACGAGATGGCCATGGGACAGTTGTTACAGCGATCCCTGCAGAACGTCGCGCTCTCGCTGCAGACCACGTTCGTTTCGTCCCTGCAACAGGCCGCCTTACTGCCACCCGACTCGCCCGTAGCCGCGGCGCTCAACCTGCAAGCCCTCGAGTCGTACATCACGTTGCAACGGCTGACCGCCGTGCCCCGTCAACCGGCCGCTAGCGGTGGAGTGGTGGTCGTGCAACAAGTGTTGAGCGACGACGACAATGATGATGACGACGACCCGTCGCCGACGGACGACCGCGACCGGCACAAACCGTTACCGCCGGCAAGGGACCCTAAAGCCACGGCCGCTATCGTTGTCACAGCCGCGGCGGGCAGGGGAGGCTGTCGTCTGCCGGCTTTCGCAAAAGAGTTGTCCGGCCTGTCGCCGCGAGCCAATCGGTTGTCCGCGTCGCTGACCGCGGCCGCCGTAACCTCGACCGCCGCCGTGGCCGCCACGGTCGCGGCCACCACCACCACGGTCATCGACGACGAACCGTCCGCGGCGGACGAGCCGGTGTGCAGCGCGCGGCACCAACCCGACAACGCGGCGCCCAACCCCAGGCCCAAGAAACAGTTCATCTGCCGGTTCTGCAACAGGCACTTCACCAAGTCGTACAACCTGCTCATACACGAGCGCACCCACACGGACGAACGGCCGTACTCGTGCGACATTTGCAAGAAGGCGTTCAGGAGACAGGACCACCTCAGGGACCACAGGTAAATATAACGCATCTATTGTGCGCGCGACACGTTTAACTGACCCGACGCGTTTTCGTATTCCGTTTCGCCGTTGGCCGCGACGCGATCGAACAATGGCGAGACGGTGTGGCCGCGTGGCCGAGGGACGGGCGATCCCCGAACGGTGCACCTTACCTGACCACACGACACGTGATCGGAATCCCGACGCGGTAACGAGTCCTTCCGACCTTTCCCGGGAATAAATCACCGTCCCCGCTCCGACCGATCCGGAATATTATCTACACCCGACCCTCCCTCACCCGCCGAACCCCCTTCAAACCAATGAACCGACGAGTGTACCGATAACGGGTATTGGTACTGAAGGGCAGTTGTACGAAAACGAATTAATAGGAAAAATAATAAGAAATGAATAATCGTTGTCTACTTTGCATGTACATAAACGTATATAATATATATATATATATATAAACGCATACACATACGCCGCCGCCGCCGCCGACACTTGATTGGACTGGACTCGCTTACGACATGAGTAAACACACGTACGCACGCGTACATATCAATCAATCGGAGACCATTGTTGTACGCCGCGTTTAATTAATTGCTCGTATGTGTACAACATACGCGTACGCGTATTATAATAGCCGTAAGGGCACGGAGAAACCTTTTAACCCGAGTGACGCGCAGAAAAAAAAATATACCCGCGGTGCGTTTTGTACGTATTATGTACCTGTAACGCGTCCGATGTGTGTACAATGATCCGTCGCGTACCCGAACGTGTATGGGTAAACGTGGCATGACGCGATTTATGCTCAGTATAAACATACTATCCCTGTCGCGGACACAAGCTTTTGATAGTACCGCGACCGTTTTGAAGGTTTAAACCGCTACGGAATAGGATTTCGAACGAGGAACATTAATTATGCTCACGCGCGCCGATACCGAATAGGGAAAAACGATGTATGGATTCGATCAACAAATTGTTTAAGAACCCCGTGTATCTTTTAATACAGTCCACTCGATCAACATTTCTTAATATATATATATATTTTTTGTTTTATTAAAATCTTTACGGTCAGACTTTTTTCGGTAAACTTGATATTATCCAGACGTACAAATAGCAATGTTTTACGTGCATGAACAAAACTGTTTACTTGCGACAGGTCCGTCTGCTCTACAATTGACACTAGGCACCATTTCCGTTAAAAGGGAGCAACGAGAATCTCAACGTAGATTGTCGATTAACGTGTGGAAATATAATTTTAAAACAGACAAGAACACACTTTTCGACTCGATTTTCAGATGATACGTGTTCATAAAATTTAGGAGAGAAATCGAAATCCGTTGTGCTGTCCCTTCCTGTCCGCCACCTCGCATTTTAAATACAAGAACGAATTCCATACGGGCCATGTGAAAAACGTTACGTGTACGTCTTGCGATTCCGGGATTCGGTCGTTTGCGTTCCGTGTTCTATTAACGTTTCCCGCGCATTGTTGTTCTTGGTTGTCCACGCGCCGTGCGATCACACGTTTAAATCCCGCGTACCTAAAACGATCGGTTAGCGTCTGGTGTTGTACGCGACCGGCGGTCGTTTCGTTGCCGAACACACGGTGACCGCCTTACGTGACGGACCGGATTGTTACCGCGCGAGTGGTGTAACAATAAAATCGGGGTGTATGCATTACGTGCGCGCGTGAGATTCCGTGTTTGTGACCATCTGCGGCTGTGTGCGGTGCGTCCGCGCTGTTGGCATCGTCCGTTATCGAGCCCGGAGATGTTATCGCGTTGTAATTCTCAAATAATAATTTACGGGATTCACCGAAAGCGGTTGGAAACGTATACGTCGCAGGTACCGAAAAAAAAACAAAAAAAAAAAAAAATTAAAAACCTACATCGACCGTCGCGCGTATCGGGTTACAACAGCCGCCACTTGTACCGGACGATTCTCGTTCCACGACGGATCTGTACGATCGTTCGCGCGATACACGATTTCATCGTCCTGGTCGTGTTCCTCTCGGGCCGACGGCTTTTGAAATAGTATTGGTATTGTAATTGCGTATCGTGTTACGTGCGCACGCACTTTCGGGAAACCGAGAAGTGCAGCTGTGCGTTGTAAAGCGATGTGAACGAAAGTCGAATGAATCGAAGTCGGACGAACGAAAAAGCGGAAAAAGTCGAGCGCGCCTCACGAACGTTTCGATTCGGTAGTAACAAAACAATGCGGTTTACGAGTCGCGTTCGACCCCGAACCGTTTTCGAAACGCGATTGAAATAAAACATTTAAACGAGACTTTTCTATATTATCCAGTGCGCCGAACGGGTGTAAAACATCAGCGTATCCGCGCGAAACCCGTAAACGCTAAGAAATGTCGCGCTGTTACTACATCATCGTTTTCCCATTGACAACACACGAAAATAATCGTAAAGCCACGTCCACACTAGCGAACAAAACGACGAACATGTGTTCGCGCGAACAAGATTCGTGTGTAACAAACGGGCGAACTTGTAACATTCTATCGAACAAATCGGCGATCCGTCAGCTGTCGGTATTTCGACGTAACATCAAACGATGTTACGCGAACATGTTACGACAGGTATGTATACGTCTTCGAACATTTTCACGAACATACAAAATCAAACTATTATTATTTATAATCGGTTTTTAAGTTTAGCTATACGCGAACCTACGCGAACATGTACCTACACATATTTTTTAGTTGTTCGGCGAACGGTTTGTCGAACCGTTCGTCGTTTTGTTACGCTAATATGGACGCGGCTTTACAATTTCCAAAACGCAAAGCGTCAAACTCAAGTGTTCCGAGTGAAGATGATCAAAGCTATTCTGAACACATCACACGGTGTACACGTCACGCAAACCGTGATACGGACACGACTCCGGACCAACACAGGAAAATAACGGAAGGGATCTGACCGTGACATCAATTGCCTATTTTACACGTTTTGCAGTCCACGAAGAGCGTATGTCGTCCCGACGTTGATAGTTTATTAGCACAACGCACGGTGCAAAGCACTCGAAACGAAATCCGAAAATAAAAACTTGACTGCTGCTTCGTTATGGCTCTCGTCGCATAAATTGTACACGGTTTTTTAATTCGTTTATTATTATCGACTCGTCCGAGATTCCCATAAATATTATTACATCGCGTGGGTATATGTGTATACATTATTATAATTTTCTATTCAACTTCGTCGACTATTCACATTTACATACATGCGTTTGCGTTCGTTGTGTACGCCGCGTGTCAGCCAAACGATCGTATTCGTTTCGATGTTTCGCATCGTCATATTATGACTCCGGTCGTGTTCATCGAATATATATAACCCCGCAGCGAATCTACGGAGCAATCGATGAATAGGGCCCTTAAAATTCGAAAAACCGTTGTCAAACTTATTTCCTTCCAAATGTCCCATGCACTTACTAACCAGACGTTTTTAAATACACATTACAGATTAAATAGGGTTTCTGCAATTATTATGAGTGTTCATTTTGATTCCAATAATTGAAAAGAAGATATTTGTGTACACAGAGATCAGTTTTTATAGTTTTATTTTTCGGAAAACGTTTTTTTGTTGTTTCGTGACATAAAAAATGACAATATTTTATAAAATTTAGAAAGGTAGTACTTGTTTTGGATGTAAATTAAATAAAGCATTTCCAGAAATGTTTGAAATTTTCAGCTTTAGTTACTAAAGTTTGAAATAAATATTGCGAAAAAAAAATTATCAAATTTTAGCCAATACCTTGATTTGCTTTGACCTTAAATAAATCTGAATCGTTTCCGAGTAAATTGAAATACGATCGACACCGCTTTTCATATAGATGTATGGAAGTATGTATTTATCTAGTATACATCAACATTATTATTATCACCAGTAAGAGTACAGCGGAAAGGTCGTTCGTAAAATATTAACTAAAAAGTGATTATCGAAATGAAACAGCTAGGTAAATGTTTTAAACCAGTTCGTGCACAGTATTGAAATTATTTTTTCGAAATGTTTCTTTTCCCTCTCGTACATACGTAACGAGTTATTTTATGGTAGATATTATCACTGTTAAATGATATTATCATTTACAATGCGATTTCGAAACGGATTCCGCACGTATCGGAACATGCTTTGGCATTTATGCGTACGGAGTGCTCTCGGTATATTATACCATCGCGTTTAAAATCGCATTATCTGTGCACGTACACGTTATGATACGCCTATGTAGTATAGATATTTTGTTGTATGTACACGGACGATAAAAAAAAAAATAAATAAATAAAAAAACGCCTCGTTCCGACATCGAAAACCAGTCTCCGCGCGCTGGAAAATAATCGACGGGCGCGCGCCCGCGATCGTACGCGCCGCAGGACGACTACGACAACGGCACGTCGCGTAGTATTATCGTAAAATTGTTTTAACGTCGTCGTTAGGTTAGCGTTTTTATTAGACAGTAAAAACGGATGTGTGGCGCGAGCGCGCAATAAATTTGTCACCGCCAGTGCCGTTTGGGCATTTCGGATGGAGGGAGAATCGTGCGCGTAGTACCTACACATTCAAGGCTGGGCTAGTTAACTAATTTATTCAACCCATGAAGTTAAGTTGATCAAGACAAATACAAGTTGGGTTTATAGTTTTAGATTCCTCTTCTCGTTTACATAAGTAATACATGTATAAATAACAAAAACTAACTGTTAACCGGGTAAAAATAAGTTGCTATACTTATATTTTTTTCAAACCGAACAATATTAAGATGTCCGTATAAAGTTGTATGTTTACGTACGTTCATTTGACCCCTGTTGCGTTATTGCGGTTATTACTCCGATTGTTTTTATCAATTTACAAATTCGAACGTAGAACTAAACGTTTATATTTTTAATCACCGGAATTCAAAATCTAAAGAGAGAGACGTTAACTCAACTACGTGTAAATAAATTTACAAATAAATACATATAAATAAATTTACTCGATTTAGAAATCGCTTTGATAAATTAATTATACCAATCACTAAT